TTTTTTTTTTTTTTTTAAGACATTGGTTGTGATTGAGAATTGTTTTGTTCAAATCTTACGCACTGCGATCTTTTGTGTTATATGCTGATCTATGCATAATCTTCGCTTCAGGGTGCGGGAGCTTTTGAAGTTGCAGCTAGACAATATCTAATTAATGAAGTTAAGAAAGCTGTTCAAGGGGTATGACTCTTGTATATTTCCTTGTTTTGAATTATATAAAAAACTATTGAAATGTTTCTGATATTCATAAATATGGAGCAGCGTGCCCAATTGGGTGTTGAAGCTTTTGCTGATGCCCTTCTTGTGGTGCCCAAGACACTTGCTGAGAATGCTGGGCTTGACACTCAGGATGTCATTATTGGTCTTACGGTACTACTTCTTTGTCCACATCACTGTTTGTTTTACCCGCTTCTAAAAGGTAGAAACTGAAGAAAAATTAAGTTATATTGTGTTTTGACTGCTTATCAGGGAGAGCATGACAGAGGTAATATCGTGGGTCTGAACCATCAAACAGGAGAACCAATGGACCCCCAAATGGAGGGTATATTTGATAATTACTCTGTTAAGCGCCAAATTATAAACTCAGGGTATGTAAAACTTTCTACTTGTATTTTCAAAATATCTTCATTTGCCTCACTTGTTCCCTGTATTTTGTAATAATTGGCATATCTTTCCATTTTCATTAATTTGCATATATCTTTCACTTCCTAATTGCTATCCTTTGTGCATGCTTAGCATGTAAGGCGGATCAGAATCTTTACAATGAATATACTCTTGTTTTTTTGTCTGAGAAACAATCGAGCTACTTTGTTTTTCAGGCCTGTGATTGCTTCACAGTTGCTCTTGGTAGATGAAGTGATTCGCGCTGGCAGAAACATGCGAAAGCCAACGTAAGCCATGTTTGTGTGCTTCAGGTTAATACTTTTTGGCTTATGCTATCCTGTTTTATGGTTTGGGTTTCTCATGGAGAATCTTCTACTGCAACGAGAACTGAAACGGTCTTTTTCTTTTAGAGGAAATATCCATTTTCTTAATGTTCAATTAGTTTTCAGCTTAAATTGAACATTTTTTCTTGTCATATTCATAGCCTTGGCCACTTTTTCCTTAAAACGCTCATAGATTGATTCAAATCTAATCCAGAATTAAATCAAAATGATTTGAATTTGGATGACTGAATACCCAAAGAAATTCCGAATGAAGTAGGTGGATTGAGGTAACAAATTGATCCTAAGCTTCACTATGATCTAGAAACAAACCCAGAAAAGAAGTGTTAAAAGAGTCCAAGATGCACTGATTTTTCTTCTGCTTGGTCGTCGATTTTGCTGATTTGATGGAGCATTGTTGTATGTTATACGATTCTAAACTCTCCTTTGTTCTGCCCCTACTCTCCCTAGAGGTGGCAAAATCTTCTCCAACGCTAAAATTTGTTTCAACTTGTTCGAAATTGAACCAATCACAACTTGACTTGATTAAAAATGAATACAAAATAATAATCCGTTTGAATTTAAAATGAGTTAAATCTGATATAGCTCCAGCTCAAGGTGATTCGAAAAATCAATATTTGAATTAAATGATTTTTTATATATTGAAATGATTTAATCTATAATTAAATCATCTTTCATAAAATAAGTGCTTGAACAAGTGATAGTTTTACTCTTTAATTATAACTTTAAATTTCGGAAAAATAATATTAATTATAATTATTATACAATTACATAGGTGATGTATTGTCAACTTTTTCAATATTGAATGTTTGAATTGGATTACAAAACTAATTTAAGACATAGTACATACGAATATCAAATGGTTTTGGGTGTTACCCTTATTATTTAAAACAATTAACTATCGAAAATTATATGGTTAACGTCACATTTGATTTGATTATAAAAATAATCATTTATAAATATACTGTTGGAAATACTCCTCCTTTATATTTTAACTTTAATACAACAGTAACTTAATTATAAAAATAAAATAATATAATAATTTGAGGATATTCTATCTCGTGCATTTGGTGTTGGGGGAAGACATGTGGTGTTGCACGTGGAGCCAGCCAGACTTTAGCCTAAAATTTACTATTGGAAATATTATTGCTGAAAATGGGCCACTGAAAAGGAACTTGGTTTGCACCCTGAAAATGGGTTCGAAGTGTGGTCCACCGCCTCTTGAGGAGTAAAGAGAGAATGGACCAAGTTTGGCCGGGTCCAAAAGAGTCGAGGTTAGAGAAAATATCGTTGGGAGTGACACTTTTCAGTGGTAATTGGGAACTTGGGGGTTTACTGCTGGAAGGTGCATTTTCTTAAAGTAGTTGTGCTCTGTTCTCTCTATTTGAAGCACTTAATAAGAGTTTTGAACGAACTTGCTTCTTTATTGATAATGTTTGAAATACATGGTTTAAATACATCTAAGATAGATTTAAGACAACAAAAACACAAGAAGGGCTTGATAAAAGGAAAAGATGAGACTGCAATAACGAGAATTTATAGCCCAGCATGGGATAGTTGCTCTGTAGCTTCTAAGAATAATAGTGGAAGGCATTGTGGTTTGAGTTGAACTTAGTCCTGATGATGATGGTTGTGGTTGTGTTGGGTCTTTGGCGAGTTGTTGGATTGTTCATCTTGTTTGCTCATGTTCATGGCTGAATTGGAGGAGCCAATTTGTGGTATTAGTGGTCAATATTGTGGCAAGACCTAAAGCCATGAGGCCCAAACACGATGACCAGTGACGATACTCCCAATGACATATTCCGTTGGGCCACTTCACCATTAGGCTCGAATTCCAACGAGAGTCTATTGCAATTCATCTGTTTAATGATTATTACCAGAAGATTTTAGGGTTGTTCTAGGGTTAGTATGAATTTCAAGCTAAGGTTATTTTCTAGATGCTATTAATCCGAAAATTTTGTGAGAAATGAGTTTCATGATGATTTTTGGTTATGATAGGTTCCACAAAGGTTTCAAGAATCAAATATAGAGTGAAGCTCTTGGTGGATTGAAATTGGTCAAGAAGGGAAATATGTGATTTATGAGATTGCAACCAAATGTTTAAGAGTTGTTTTCTAATATAACTATGGTATACTTATACTATCTAATATTTTAAATTGTATGGGGACAAGCACTTTTATGCTTTCATGTTTCAATTGATTTTGAATTGGAACAGTATGTTGGTCTTTGAAAGAATGGCTTTGAAATATGTTGTTTGTAAGTATGTTTTGATCATGAAAAGATTGATGTTTGAGAGTATTATTTGCAACCTTAAAGAATTGGTTGCTTATGATGGAAATGTTGAAAAAATTGTGCATTGGGGACATTGTAAGGATTTTACATGTCTTGAGATATAACACTATAGAAATGTGAAATGGTTTCACCCAATATATTATGATTTATTGTTTTTTTGGAGCTACTTGTGTTAAAAACCTATAACTAGCAGCAGTAAAAGTTAGTCATTGTGCACAATGTTTGTTTTCCTAGCTAGCAAGGGAAATGGTGCTAGTCCTGTGTTGCGAACTAAGAACATATGTTAATTATGTTGGTGGCAATAAGCACTGGATGAACCTATATAGTAAGGATTGGGCTGCCTTCAGTTTGGTCCTAGATAGTAGGGATAATGGTTCTATCCCTTAAGTTGGTATACCCTTGGTTTGTTATGTGCTTCTTGAGCATGTTCCACAAAAATGAAGTTTTCTAAAGTGTAGTTTACATGATCTCGTGTTCAAAATTCGGAAGCAAATACCATTGAAATATCAAGAGTAAGTCATCTCATGGCTAATCCAAAATATAACATTTATTACAAAATGTAAGTAGAGTTCAAAATCTATTTCAGACAAAAACATGACTAAACCAGTGGAGTACAACTCAAGGAAAAGGCTGATGTCTACTGAAAGCCTTATTGAACACTTACCAAAATTGGCAACAGTAGTAATTCCTCCCAAAAAGTAGCGAGCCAAGCAATCTATTAATCTAAAATAATAAACGCATCTTACATGTGTGAGTTATAAATAATTCTATGAGATGATATGAGAAGGGAGAACAAGTTAAACAAAAAAATGTTTATCAAATACAATTTCAAATTTAATGCAAATAAACAATTTCCAAATATTCTCAAAGTTCATTTCCCAAGTGTAATCAAATTTCCAAAGATTTTCAAAATTTGCTTCCCAAGCGTAATCAAATCATTTAAAAGTGTTTTCAATAAATTCAAGAGTTTATAAAGTCTAGTAGTTGAAATAAAACCATTCGTATTTTTTAAATCCTTTTAAAAATGATGAAAAATTGTAAAACAAGCCTTAAGTATCAATACATTGCTTAGATGCATTGATACTTTTCAAACAAAATTCCTTTTAGGACTTCTTGGACTAAATGTAATAATACTTTTGTTCAAAGTATTGATATTTTTTATCCAGAATGCAATTCTGGGAATCTGTGAGGAGCAAGTATTGATACATTTTCTACAAAACCAAATTTCTCAACCTAAAACCCATTTCTAAGACCTCAAAGAAGTCTATAATTCTTCACATTCAAATGCCCAAAAGTTCAACATCAAAATGGATACAAATCTCAAATTTTGGAATTATTTTTCTTTTCTTTTTTTCCTTAGCTCATCTTTTCTATTTTTTTCCCCTTAACTAATCTTTTGATCCTAAAAATGGATTCAAGATTGATGCCATCTACAAGCTTGCTCAAAAGTTCTATCTTGATGACTTCAATCATCAAGAAAAATTGCAGATGAAATATGAATTGTAACATTTTGAACTTGATATTAGGTGAGTATATGTTTGCACAGTGTTTCAACTCTCTTATAACTATGCCGGTTAATGTTAAAGGTAGAAAAATCAATTGTGAATTTTCTCTTAGGTTGTTTAATTGCATATGAAATATCAATTGAAGCTTTTGAACTTGATATTAAGCAAGATATCCAAAGTTATGCTAGTTAATATCAAAGACAGAAAAAATAATTGTATATGCTTTTCAATATCGTTTGGTTCGACTTATCTTAACTCTTCCAATTTCTATTACAACTACAAAACATACATTTTTAGTTATGGAAATTCTAAAGACAAAGTTGCGTAATAAGATGGAAAATGATTTTCTTGCTAGTTCACTTATCTTTTATATTGAGAAAGAGATTGTTAGGACCATTGATACTGATTTAGTCATAGATGAAAGTCTAATGTTAATTTTTTCTTTTGCTTTATGTCTATTTATATTAGTGAATCTAAAAACTTATATTTAAATTGTTAATGAAATTTTATGATATAATTTAATTTTATTTCAAAAGTGATTAAGTTTTTGCTCTGAATCAAATCTTTGACCTGATCCATGACCTTGTATGATTACTCGCCACCCCTCATACAAAATTCTAGATCCGCCGTTGGTCTAGAGTAAATTTACCTTGGTGAGTTTGTGAGTACCAAAATCAATCAAAACTTGAATTTTTAAAAGTAAAATGAATTTTTAATAAATCAAAATTTTTGGAAAATCAAACCCATAAACTTAGATGTTTTGAACAAAGGAACTTTACCTCTAGATGGCCTTAGAATCAAAATTTGAGCTTAAGAACGATTTTTAAATGCTTAAAATCCATAGATTTGATGAGAAAAAAAGTGAAGAGAAAATAATGGATGGATTTTTGAGAGACAACGTTTTTTTTTTGGCTATTTAGGGAAAAGTCTGAGGTTTTAGGGCTCTTAAATAGTGTGAAAAGTCTAAAATACCTTTATTTTTTCAAATATGCAACTCATGTATTAATACATTTGGGACATGTATTGATCAATGCTCATAAAAATCCTTTTCTAGGTTTCACGTATCGATATATGATGAACATGTATTGATAAATGCTCATAAAAAACCTTTTCTGGGTTTCATGTATCGATACATGATGAACATGTATTAATACATTTTGTCCAAAATGTAGTTTTCAAGTTCAAAACAAATGTTTTGACCCTTTAATGGTCTAAACTTTCAAGCACACTCATTTGGCCATCAAATCATGATTTTCTAAGATATAATTGTTCATAAACCATGTTCAAAAACATCAAATTAACAAATAACCAAGCTAAGTTACAAATCTAATCTTAAG